GGTGGGTGGTTTGCATTGGCACCAGTGGTGCCCCAGCTGGCCTTTGTCTTTCCTGGGATAGCCTCAAAGCACTTTGAAGTCAGGCGTAAGGCTTGAGACAGTGCAGAAGTTTCCCAGGCTGCGGCCCCACTACTTTTGAAGGGTCACCCACCTAATCTGGCCATTGGAATTGTGGGCATCTTTGAATCACTATCCTCTGGCTTCCTCACAGGGAGTAACATCCTAACACCTAAAACACAGTTCTGTGGTGTATATGATAGAGAGGGAGTTGCTTGTTTAAAAATGGGAAATGAGCTCCCCACCAGGTGATTGTCTTGCTAGATGAGAGATGCCGTAACACACGATACATATAGGTCTTGGTTTAACTGTTGGCTCCCCTGAGAACTACCTGTGGCTGTGACCTTGCATCATTATTTCCAAGTTTTGGGCTGGAGCCTCTTTGATGACAAAGTAAAGTGAGATTAGAGATGGAATGCATGCGAAGTAGGGATTCTGGACCTTGGCACTATTCACATTTGGGGCGGGACCGTCCTTTGTGGGTCAGGGCAGTACTGTACACTTCAGGATGTTGAGCAGCATCCCTGGCCTCCATCCATAGGATGGCAGTAGCACATACTCCCTCCTTTGTGACAGTCAAAATGGCCTCCAGTCATTGCCTAATGTCCTGTGTAAAACAGTCACACCTTTGTAAGAACAACCCCTATGAAGCACCCAGCACAGTGCCTGGCACCTATTAAGTTTTCTTCTGAGGACCAGTGAGGAGAAGAGGCTGCTTTTGATTGAAGCCTGAGGCCATCATGAACTTTCTGCTCATAAGCCTTCTTCTGCAGATTTAAAGCCTGTGTGTATGTGTGTTTACAGGACAGAGATCTGGTGATGGAAAGTACATTCCCAAAAAGATCCTGACTCGCTGGTTTTGTACCATTCTCAGTATTTCCAGCCTCCAAGACTAGCTATCACCCCTCTTTGGTTTAGAGAGAATACAGCCCCCTTCTCTTTCTGCTTCACTGCTTTATTTCCTGCCCAAACTATTTATGTTGTAATGGCTTTGTAACTGATGATCCCATATCTCGTGACATTCTGCCATAGCTTTTAGAAAATATTTTTCCACAAAGAACCAATAGTAGATCACTCAGGCTTGGTGGGCTGGGCAGTCCTCTGTCACAACTATTCAATTCTGCCATTGTAGTACAAAAGCCACTGTAGACAGTCAACAAAGGAGCATGGCTGTGTTTCAATAAAAGTTTATTTACAAAAACAAAATGCGGGCCAGGTTTGCCCCGTGAGTGATTTGCCAGGTCCTCTCGTCATCCCCCTACTTTATGGAGCACAGAGTTCATTTTCTCAATCACATATTCACTTGGAACACACTTGCAAATGTCCACTTTGCAGCTAGTATGCTGTTGGACCATGGATATGGGGCAGGGAATGTGGCATAGTGTCCTGTTTTCAGAAAGGTCACAAACAAATAAAAAGACAGTGGCAGTGCTCGGAGCTGTGTGAGCTATGGCCACCAGCTGTAGCGGAGCCGAAGAGATGGGTGACTGACCAGGTTTCAGCATCAAGGAAGGCTTGCTGGAAGAGGGACTCTTAATGGAGACTGAAGAAAGCATAAGAACTAGCTGGGCAAGGGGGTAGGTGAGGCTTTCTAAGCTGAGGGGCAGTGAATGTGAAGACTTCATGGGGTTGGGAGGATGGAGCTCTTCTCCCTTAACTGACCACAAGCTTTGGGAGGCCATGGCACTTCTCTGCTCCATATAGAGAGAGCTCCAGTTCTATGAGGAGCCTTAACTCTTTTGCAGGAACTAGTGCGAATGAGCCACTTTTCTTGAGGTTGCTCTGCACTGATGGAAATCCCCAGGGTTATATATGTTGCTGGTGAAAGTATCTTCTGCTGGAGGTGGAGGAGGGAAGCCTTTGTCTTCATCTGATCATTGTCTGGACCACTGCTCCTGTGATTATTCTGTTCTTCCCTGTAGGGACTCAGACACGTCTGTGTTTCAATGAAGAGATGGGCCAGGTAGAAGATTGGGGAGGCAGAAACAGATCTTTGAGCAGAAGCTGCTTCTGGCACAATGAATTTCTCATCAGATGGTTCCCAAGATCCCAACATTTCTGGGGCTTTTCATCACCCATGGAGAAGTGGCATCACTATGGAATTTCTGTACAGAAGGATATGTTCCTTGAACAGCCCAGAAAAAGAAAAGATGCTAGTTTAGTTATAAAACAGCAGAAGTTTTTTTTTTTTAATTAGTCAAGACCCTTTCAGTTGTAAGTAACAGAAAAACTAGCTTAAAAAATGAGACAAAGGGTACAAAGTGTCAGTTTTACAAGACAGATACATTCTGGAGATTTAAGTAAAGCATGGGAACAGGAGTTAAAAATACTGTATTATATACTGGAAATGTGTTAAGGGGATAGATCTTAAATTAAATCTCAACACACACACACCACACACACAAATGGAAATCATGTGGAAGTGATGGATATGCTAATTACCTGAAATGTGGTCACTTCACAATATATACATATTTTTATGTTAATGATATCTCAATAAAGCTGTTAAAAAATAGGACATTTACTGACTTGGGTAACTAAAGCAAATAAGGGCGGTACTAACTGTGGTTAAAGGTGGATTCAAAACTTCAAATGATGTCACCGGGACTCAGTGGATACTTCTGTGTTCCTCAGTTTCTTCTCTTCATTTTCCTCTAGGTTGGCCTTACCTGTAGGCAGGTCCTCTTCAAGTGGCAGTTTTTTTTGTTTTGTTTTGTTTTTTTTGAGATGAATGGCCCAGGCTGGAGTGTGGTGGTGCAATCTCGGCTCACTGCAACTTCCACCTCCCAGGTTCAAGCGATTCTCCTGCTTCAATCTCTCAAGTATCTGGGATTACAGGCATGCACCACCATGCCTGGTTAATTTTTGTATTTTTAGTGGAGATGGGGTTTCACCATGTTGCCCAGGCTGGTCTTGAACTCTTGACCTCAAGTGATCCACCCGCCTTGGCCTCCCAAAATGCTGGAATTACAGGCGTGAGGCAACATGCCCAACCTAAGTGTCAGTTCTTGGCAGCTTCAGGCTTATGTTGTTTTTGCAGCTGCCAATCACAATGGAAAGATAACTTCTTCCCCAAAACTATGGCAAAATTCCAGGGCGACTGGGACTCAGTGGTGTGACTAGGGCTTAACGTACAAATGGTTTCACTAGACAGATGGGCATGAACCCAAATCCATGGGACTATCTCAGTGGGACCTTCTGACTGGCCAGGTTGGCGTCCTATGGCTCATCTCTCAGTGATCGGGAGCTGGATTCAAATGTATCTACACCATACAGGCTGAGAGTGGAACTGGGGTCTTATTGAAGAAACAGGAGTGGAGACAGACCAGCAATATCAGCAAGTCTTTTGTGTCTTCCCAAGGATAGACAGGGTTAACTGCTCATGGATAGCAATCCAGCCTCAGCATAGGCACACCCTTCATGGCCCCAGTGCTACGGAAACATGTTAGGAAGACAGAAAGAAATGCTTGTGCCCTTTTATTTCCAATGGCACAGACATTTGGAGAAATTTGTCCAGAGGAGGCAAGAGGCTGATGGAATGTTTTTCCTTGTAAAATGTTTAAACTTATCCTAAGCTTCGTTCTCTTCCAAGTGTCATCTTTAACATTCTAATTAAGGTCCCTTCTAAACAAATGCACCAGTTCTGTCTGTGTGCTTCTCTGAGAGCGAACTTTTTTTTTTCCTTCCTTCTTTCTGTCATCATGTTTTTGCTGCACTCAAATTGCTTTAGAGAAAGGGGATTTCAGATGTTGGTGGCGAGTACTGAAGAGAGAGGAGCAATTCTGACATTTTTGCCCTAGTATCATTATACGAGGGCTAAAGTCACATCTAATTGACCACAGACAATGGGAGAGGCAGCTATTTGGTGTGCTTAATTGCTAAGTTTTTTTCCACTCTCTCTGTCTTTCTGACTGTGTAATCTCATCTCCTGAGACCATGGAAAATCTGGACCTTTAGGGTTATAATTTCTTATGCCGTGTGTGTGTGTGTGTGTGTGTGTGTGTGTGTGATGGTAGAACTGTGGAGGAGGAAGTAGAGAGAGAGATGCTTCCTGAAATGGAAGCATCTGAATTCAGGTTTTTGTTGTGTGTGTTTTTTAAATTCTTCTGAGTTGGCTGTAATTGTCACACTGCATGTTTTGCCTAGATCTGAAGAATGAATTGTTATGTAATACTCCGTGCTCATAAAAAAAAATAAGGTAGGGAGGGAGAGGCATTGACTAATGAGACTAAGAGTTAAATCCAATATTTTTCAGAAATGCTTAAAATGTGGATGTCAGAGAGGATGATCTTTGTCCAAATTAGGCCCTGAATTTTTATTAGCTGCTTCATTTTGGCACTGGGGACATCATACACACACACACACACACACACACACACACACACACAAAACACACAAGCACACGGACACTGGGAGCATTAAAAGGATCCTCCCTCTTCCCATTATGTGAGCCAAGTCACATAAAACTTTGATTAAATTCAAATGCTTACATAAATTGTCTCTCCTCTCAAGAACACACACGTTCAATTTAATCTCTCTTGGCACTTTGAGTATCAAATCAAGGTTCTGCTGTCACTGCGGACAACTAAATGTTCACAGCTTCCAAAATGGGAATGAAATAAAAAGGATCTGACAGAAAAAAAAAATCCAATCTAGTAAGCCACAGACCCTCATTGTCTTTGAATATTAGGCAGAGTGACTTGGGAAAAGTGACTTTATCTTTCCAAGACTCGGTTTCTGCATCTCTAAAATGGGGAGAAGTGGTTACTGTTTCCTTATAGGTTCTGGTGAAGATGAGCTGAGATTGGTCCATCTCAGCCTGGTGGTGTCATGGTGACCTCTAGAAAGTTGGCAGTCACGATTGTCCTGGGATCTGGGAGGAAGCTTTCTGCAGGGTGCCTCCTCATGATGTTCTCCCTCTCTCCACCTTTTTGATTTTTCAGGGTAATCAGGAAGCAGCCGCTGCCCCTGACACAATGGCTCAGCCTTACGCTTCGGCCCAGTTCGCTCCCCCGCAAAACGGTATCCCCGCGGAATACACGGCCCCTCATCCCCACCCCGCGCCAGAGTACACAGGCCAGACCACGGTTCCCGAGCACACGTTAAACCTGTACCCTCCTGCCCAGTCGCACTCCGAGCAGAGCCCGGCGGACACGAGTGCCCAGACCGTCTCCGGCACCGCCACAGTAAGTGGATGCGTTCGCTGCAGGTCGGGGGATAGGCAAAGCTGCGCCGGGGCAGGTGCTCCAGGCCTGGGAATGGAAGCAGGGGCGCACCCCCTCCACCCAGGGACTCTGGCAGACGGATCGGTCCCCGAGCTCACCCTCATCTTAGCAGCTTCCTGAAGTTTACCTCATCTCCATGCCTTCTTTCTTAGCATTCCTTTAAATCTATCATTTTCGTTTAAATCTATGTATTTTTTTCAGTGATTTCATTTATTTGCAAAGGGGCACATTTATCAATTTTCTGTTTTTATGGTTTTGCCTTTCCAGAATGCTATCCCAATGAAATATCCTTTTTTTCTGAGGAAAAAAAAAATGATGTAAGATAATTTTTTTTTTTTTTTTGTCATTATGGAGGCTGGGTATGATGGCTCGTGCCTGTAATCCCAGCACGTTGGGAGGCCAAGGTGGGAGGATCACATGAAGCCAGCAGTTTGAGTATAGCGTGGACAACAAAGTGAGACCTCATCTCTACAAGAAATTAAAAATTTAGCTGAGTGTAATGGTGCATGCCTGTAGTCCCAGCTACTTGGGAGGCTGTGGTGGGAGGATGGTGTGAGCCCGGCAGTTTGAGACTGCAGTGAGCTAAGATTGCTTCACTGAACAGGGTGACAGAGTGAAACCCTGTCTCTAAATAAACAAAAAATAAAGTCTTTGTGGAGTTATAATTTACATACCATAAAATGTGTATATTTTTAGGTGTACAGTTCACTGATTTTTTAGCAGATTTACAGAGTTATGTGGCTATTGCATCTAATTTTGGGATATTTCCATCAGCCTAAACACAAACCTTGTGCCCCTTTGCAGCTGCTCCTCATTCATCCCTCAGAGCTCTGAACCTGGCTTCCTTACCTTAGCCTAATGCATTTGAAATTCATACATGTTGCAGTGTTTTTCCCTGTTTTTTTTTTTCCTTTTATTGCTGGACCATAGAGCAGGGGCTATAAAGGCTCAGGGTGAGAGAATGAATAAGAGAACTGTCCTGTATCTTTATCGTGATGGTTACATGACTTGTTATACCATAAAGAGTAAGTTTTATTGCATACAAATGATTAAATGGATTAGGAACAGGCATGTAAACAACAGAAATATTTTATCATCACTGTAAATGAAAACTGGTGTTTGGGCCATTAATCAAATATAACTCTCAACAAAAAGAATTATACTAAAATTAAACAGTATTCATTTGTGTGCCACTTAAGTAATCATGATACTACAAAACCTGTATGAAACATGCATTTGGGAACCTTTTTCTGTAAAATTCTTTAGAAGCTTAGGCACCCCAAACCTCTTGTCTGGAACATTTTTTAAGTGCAAGGCAATTCTGCCTTTTCCTTCTGTCCCAAGACCTCTGGAAAACCAGTATTTATGAAGAAGTTTATGGGTTTGCAGCATCATACATTTCTTATGATAAAAGCAACCACTGACTAACTTTGCTCCTTGCCACCTCCTTCATTTGGAGGGTAGTTTTGGAATTTTTTTTTAAATAGTATACATTCTGTAATTTTTTAATTGTCTTCCTTTTTAATTTATTGTGGTAAAATACATATAACACCATTTTTAACAATTTTAATAATATACGCATTTCAGTGGAATTCAGTATATTCACTATGTAGTGCAAAACGACCACCATTATTGAGTTTAAGAATGTTCTTATCACCTCAAAAGGAAACCCCATACCCATTAAGCAGACACTCCCCATTTTCCCTCTCCCCAGCCCCTGGCAACCACCAGTCTGCTTTAGAGATAGCTCTTTGTGTCTGGCTTCCTTCTCTTAATGCAACGTTGTCCACTTTCATTCATGCTGAGTACCCCACTGTATGGCTAGACCAGGTTTATTTATCCAATAGTCCATTGATGGATATTTGGGTGGTCTCTACATTCTGTTTCTTCTGAACACTCCTGCTGCTGATTTTGTTGTATTTAGTTGCTGTTCCCTAGGTATGGATCTGTTAAAGGAATTTGCTGGTTCAGCAGGTGTTTGTTGCTTTTTTGTTGACTACTGGATAGTAGTGCTGGAGTCATGGTTTACTATTTGTTGTCTATTTTGTGATAATCAATAATAGTAATGCCTGGATAGGTTATTTCCAATTTTTTTTAAAAAGATCCAATCGGACATTATTGATTAAACTAAGTGCTGTGGAAATTTTATGTATTCATTTATTTACTCACAAATATCTATGAAGCTTCGACTAGGGCCAGGACTCGTACTAGCTGGCATGGTTGGTCCAAACAACATGATCTTTCCCACTTGTGGCTTTGTATGAGAGGCAGAGACTGAGCATGTGGCAAATAGCATGGGTGACAGATGCTCTTTTTTTGTTTTTGTTTTTGTTTTTTAGGATGGATACTATTTTTTTATATTTATTTTTTATTGCACTTTAGGTTTTAGGGTGCATGTGAAGAACATGCAGGATTGTTGCGTAGGTACATACATGGCAATGTGGTTTGCTGCCTCCATCCCTATCACCTATATCTGGCATTTCTCCCTATGTTATCCATCCCCAACTCCCTACCCACCTCTGTCCCTCCCCTAGTCCCCCCCAACAGACCCCAGTGTGTGATGCTCCCCTCCCTGTGTCCATGTGTTCTCATTGTTCAACACCCACCTATGAGTGAGAACATGCGGTGTTTGATTTTCTGTTCTTGTGTCAGTTTGCTGGGAATGATGGTTTCCAGGTTCATCCATGTCCCGACAAATGACATGAACTCATTGTTTTTTATGGCTGCATAGTATTCCGTGATGTATTTGTGCCACATTTTCCCTGTCCAGTCTATCATCGATGGGCATTTGGGTTGGTTTCAGGTCTTTGCTATTGTAAACAATGAACATGCAGTCGCTCTTAAGGAAAATAGGGGTACCGTAAGAAAATTAAAAAAGAACAGAGTTGCTACCTGCAAATGGGTAGTCTGGTAGCATTTCCTTAAGGAGATAATGTTTAAGGTGGGAAGACAAAGCATCCCAGGCAGAGAGAATACCACCGTCAGAGGTCCTAAAGTTGGAAAGATCTGGGCTCATTCAAAGTCCTAAGAAGAAGCCAGTATGTTTAGGGCATGTTGAAGGGGGTTTAAAGGTGATGCGGCAAAAGATGAACTGGGAGAAATTAGCAAGGATTTGACATCCTACAGGCCTGGTGGGTCTGATAAGAGGTTGAAATTCCACATATAAGCAATGGGCAACCATTGAAAAGAGTTTAAGCCAGAAGAGTTATGAAATAAGACATAAAAATAAAGGCCTAATGATGCCTAGCTTAAAGGAAATTTAATCCATTTGGGGAGCTGAGCTGCTCCACGTCTTTGCCCTGCAAAAAGAACACTTTAGAGATCAACAGAATTGAATTTAAATAGCATGTTGGGTGTCCACAGTGCCCCAGGCACTGCAGGGAGATAATCTGATGTGCAGGCAAGCTCTCTTCCCTTGGAGAGCCTTAGGACAATATAGGATATGTGTTCTGTTAATTATGGTAATGTACCAAATTTTAGCATATAGATTTTCACAGCTTTTATCTAACGTGATGGCAGTAGGAGAAAACATTTTCAAAATCGTAGTCAGAGGGTTATACCTTTCAGAGTCTTCTGGTTACAGGAAAGAGAAAAACTCAGTAAGAAGTGTGTTGGCTCATAGAACAAAAAGTCCAGGAAGAGGATGGACACAGCTTGTTTTTTGGCACACATCCATTAGCTTGTAATGGGAACCATCTGGGGTTGGCTTCCTTGTCCTCACCTCTACTCTCTGACTCTGTCCTGCAAGTTTAGGCTCCAGTCACCACGATCAGCAGCCCTGTGAAAGGCTCTTGGATTCACCCCATATAAGCCCTCTCATGGGAATCCCTCTCCATTTCTGGCTTGTGTGGCATTATCTTCATTCAGTGGCTAAGGCTGGTACTGAGTTTCCCAAGCCTCAGGTCACCAAGGAGCTTCCTATCCAAATACAAGGAATGAAGACCATTTCATCGGAGTCCATGATAAGATACCTTCAGAACAAGTAATTAAAGAAACTAAGTAGACACAACCTGATCAGAGCTAAAGGTAGCATTGGTGAGCCATTTGCATAAAGAAGCTTGAATTGGTGTTTGTCAAGAGTAGGTAGGGAGTAAAAAGAAGCGTAAGAACAGCACATTGGAGAGTTCCTGGGGTGGGGTTTGAAGGAAGAGAAACTACTAAGTAAGCCATCAGTGGGATGTTCAGATTGGGTGTTCAACCATTTGAATGTTGGGCAATAGAGCCTGAGGGTATAAACTGAGAAGACATAATTGAAGTGACAGTCTGGACATCTTTGAAGACCTAGAAGAAAGCAGTTTTGCTGAGTAGTGGAGAGAGTTCCAGAAGAGACAAGAGTTGAGGAATAAATGGCGTATGTTGGAGTGAGTGGGTATTGCCTATTATAAATATTTGGAGTAACTAGGAGAAAGAAGAGATTGCATCTGAGAAGTAAAGAGGTTAGAGAAAGCAGCTGGTAGGATAGTTGGTTTAGAGTCACTAATTTATGCCAGTAAGGTTCCTGCATGGGGTGCAAAGGAAAGGAAGCAAGAGATAGGGAATAATGGTGCAGGAAAGAAAGTGATAAAGTTTTTTACAGGAGATAAGAAGGAATAGGACCAAGGGCATTCAGATACAATAGGTAGTCTAGGAAAGAAGAAACCTTTTTTTTTTTTTTTTTTTTTTTGAGATGGAGTTTCGCTCTTGTTACCCAGGCTGGAGTGCAATGGCGCGATCTCGGCTCACCACAACCTCGGCCTCCTGGGTTCAGGCAATTCTCCTGCCTCAGCCTCCTGAGTAGCTGGGATTACAGGCACGCGCCACCATGCCCAGCTAATTTTTTGTAGTTTTTAGTAGAGACGGGGTTTCACCATGTTGACCAGGATGGTCTCGATCTCTTGACCTCGTGATCCACCCACCTCGGCCTCCCAAAGTGCTGGGATTACAGGCGTGAGCCACCGCGCCCGGAAAGAAACCATTTTTTA